ATATTATATATATATATTCACCTCTGTCATTCTATTAGATTGTGAAACACTTGAGCATAAGGAGTGTGCCTTTTTCATCTTTGTATTCCCAGAGCTGGGGCAGGGCGTGGCACCCAGGGAAAACTCTATACCTGAAAATGAGTGAATGCATATTAAATGAAAGTCCTGAGTCATGCTTCTGATTTTGATTAGGACTGTTCCAAAGGCATCATGAGATAGTAATCACAGTCTCTTACAATATGAGGTTATTTATCACTGACCAGAAAGAGCTAAAAGAAAAACTGACTTAGTCCATATAAGTTTATTTCCTCTGAGTATTTCTTTGATCTGATATTGAGACAGCTGCACTGGTAATTTTGAAGAAACACAGAGACAAGAGCAAAAAGAGGAACACAAGAAAAAGAAATGATCAGTACCCACCAAAGATGGGTAAGCGTCTTTGAAGGGGAAACTCCATTTACCGCTGATAACCACATGGACATCACCAGTCACCGAATCATTGTAAAAAGATCCCTTCTGCCTTCTCTAGGGTGTGGTGGATGGAGATGGGCTTGAATTTGGAAGTCATCTCTACTACTAGTAATTCAGCCACTCTGAGTTTAATTTTTCCATCTAAGAAAAAGACAAGCATACTATTTTTGGAAGAGTGCTGTGAAGTTCTATCAAAAAATATATGGGAAGTGCTTTGTAATGACCTAATCGAATGTTAGTTGTTATTAATGAAATTTTATTGTTTTGTTATAAGAAAGCTATCACTATCATAATTATTACCAATGAATAATGTTTATTGAGTACCTATAATACATTCCTCCAAGGGGATATATCTGTGTCTTTAAAATTCTCCTCTTAGGGCAGGGGATTTAGCTCAGTGGCTTTGCTGCCTGCTGCACAAGCGCAAGAACCCAGTTCGATCCCTGGTGCCAAAAAAACCAAAAACAAAATCTCCTCTTTCTCCTATATTATTTATAAATTCATAGCCTTGTCACATTAAGCTCTAGATCAGACTTTTCATGCAGTTTTATGTATTTTCTACTTTGAGATACTTTTATAATTATTGTGTATATTTCTTCATTATCTATTTTGTAGAATTAAACCATACCTTCATTTGTCAAAGGATTTTAGAGAATATCATAGTTTTATTTCTTTCACTATATGCACTTCTTATTATGGATATTTTTATTATATATAATGTTATAAAATTTGTTTAATTTTATTAGCTTTATATATAGTTAAATGTTTTATGTATTTATGAATTACTGAAGATGAAGGTTACACTGATTTTAAAAGAAGGTCATTATTCCTACGCACTTTACATGTATAAATTAGTCCTTTGAGAGTAGTAGTAGTAGTAGCAATCTTATTTTACAGTTGAGGAAACTGAAGTATAGAGAGGTTAAGTAATTTTCCTGATCCTATAGCTACAGAGTGATGGAGTTTGACATCACAGCAGCCTGTAGACACTGTGCCCAAAAGCAGTGTGTAAACTGCTCGAGAGCATAATCCTTAAATTTTACTAGTGGAGTTCTGAGTGACAAATGGTTCAGAACTCTTCTGATTTGTAGCTTTGTGTAGTTCAAGACCATCATTGTGACCTGCCTGGGGTGGCCTTGTGGTTTACCCAGATCCTGTAACTTTTAAATTCCTATACATGAGATTCTAGAGGCATTTGTTTACATTGCTGATTCAGTTGATGTTTAATATCAGGACCTGATATTCAGTCACATGACGTGTTTTCAGTGTCTTAAACAAATATTTGGAACAAAGAACATCCAAAATGAAATCCTCTGAAGTATGTATTGTTAAGATCTGAGAGAATCAAATGCCTACAGTTACATTTTTATAATAAAACCATCATCAGGAATATAAGTAAACATTTTCTTTTTGTCTGAGTAAAAGAGAAAGCTGGTAATGTGCAAGCTGAGTGAGATTTTATTGAATACTAGTTGTCTCTAGTATTAGAAAAAGAAGAGTAAGAGAAACAAGTAGCATTTCTAAAATTCCCTGTCCATGTAAGGGTGAGTATCTTTGATTAGAAAGAATCATCGCACATCCCAAAATGGACAGAGCAGCCAAAGGCTGAAGTGGAACTTCCCAGAAGACATGGAGGGAGTCTTCGTAGTGTGGAAGCCCATAGGGAATCTTGGTGGGTTTGTTTCTTATTGAAGAATCATGTGTGCTTGGAATGGGAACCTTCCAAAGGAGGGCTCAGCTCATCAGAGAATCCCCTTGGGAGGCTTCTGGACCCCTCACACCTTTCAGAAGATAGCATCCTCAGAGGCTTTCAATTACGTGAATGAACCAAATAGATCCACGTGGCAAATA